AGGAGATATAATGTGCCAATCATGAGTGTCGTCGACATCAAGAACCCTCCATGAATTAGAGCTAAAATAATGCATTTCAAACTCAGCAATGTTGTCATGATAGCAATACCTCAAGATTTTTCTGCAACCAAGAGCGTAAAAAGCATCACTATTACTGTACCAAGTTGTTGGTTTGATCGACCTGGTTTCACCAGTACACGGGTTCCAAACCACAATCATTTTCATACCCGTCATTGTGCATAAAACTAAACCGTTGCAGTAAAAGATCTCAGATACACTGACCCGTTCTGATTTCTTTCAACTGCTAAGTTTACCTCTAAACTCCATAGATGCATTAATCATGCCGTCGTCGTGAATTACATGATTGATGGTAATAGAATGAACCTTTGAATTCTTCTGTAGAATCAATTCCCTTGGTGATTTACCGTGATTCTTCTTCACAAACTCCGGATCCTTGAACAAGTTATACCATGGCTTGTAAGTGACTTGCAGTTGTCCCAGAGATTTGACCGGAACCATAGAAAGTATATCCAATTCCAAATCGAGTGGAAGATGAGAAAACATCATTGTTACTCACTCTCGTGATTTTTCTGACCTAATTCTTTGAGTTGGAAGAAACCGTATGTTTTAGAAATTAGGAAGGAATATATTCTTTTATTATTGGGTTTTTATCGTTACCGGATTCTTAGGGATTTGGATATTTTAAATTTTGAATGGCTCCTGGATAGTACGTACATAGTAAATTATATTTTGTGAATTAAACGGAAAAAATATATTTTGTAATCTCTTTTTGATATTTTTGGCTAAGATCAATTAGGGTTTAAAGAAGATAACGAGAACCACCAAATTCGCAAAAAACTCTTATTTCTTCTCCAATCGATCGCTTATCCTTCACATCCATCCTAACTTCGATGCGTAATCTCTCATCGCTTCTCTTTGGCCTGCGTCAACTTCAACTTTGTTCACCAATCCACAGGTAAGTCATCCTCACGTGATCTTTGTAATTGAAAGTTTTGGAAGATTTGTGATTGGGTTACAAGGCGTGTTTTGTATTAGGAAACCCAAATTCAGTTTATAATAAATTAACAAACTTTAACCCGTTCTTCTGGTTTAGTCATCAAGGTAATTGTATGTGTTTAGTCCTTGGCTTGTTGGAAAACGTTTAGCTGTAGTGTTACATATGAAAGCTTAGTCAGATTGGATTTGATTCACTTGAAGTTTTTTGATCTCTGGTTTTATAATGAAAATATTATTTTGTCTTCTGGAGATCCTGAACCTTCATTCATAGGAGCAAAATACTTTGTTGATGGTTTTGTTGCTGAATTTGGAGATTTGAACAGAACAGAGAAATCTGAGTACATTTCCCCGAGAGATTTTAACAGTCACGCACCTTTAAATTGGTGGTTCTTTTCTTCAGAATGTTAAGCTACTTAGGACTCGGAAGAGGAACTGCGAGAGGCGGTGCCCCCGGTATCCGTATAGCTAATTATAAGGCTTGCTGGCTTCGAATGTATAGGGGCTGAAGTATTGGAGGCAACAGCTGAGGCTATACATGATGGTGTTGATGTTTCGTTACTCTCTTTAGCATCCAAGGCTCCTTTACATCCATAACCCGATGTGAGGGTGGGAGCATTTGCAAAAGGCTTTCATGTTGTTGCTGCAGCTGGTACTAATGATGGCCCCATGGCTCAGACCATTGCAAATGTAACAATATTTGACACGCCCCAACCCCAATCACTTTGAGCCCTAGGTCTCACGCCCTAACTTGTAGCATAAGAAATACACTTGCACACACTGAAAAAGGGGAAAAAGAGGGGTGGGTAATGAATTACTCAGTGAGCGAGGCGGCAGACGCCAACCCGCAGTGATCCATAATACAAAATAATTTATAAACATTAAACGCATATACTAAAACATGAAATGGCACACGCAACAAAAAACCT